CGCGTGGGTGTTGAGCCTGGAGGTGCTGCGTCTGGGGATGCTGCGACTGGGGGTGCAGAGCCTAGGGGTGCTGAGCCTGGGGGTGCTACGACTTGGGGTGCTGAGCCAGGAGGTGCTACGACTGGGGGTGCTGAGCCTGGGGGTCCTTCGCCTGGGGGTGCTGCGTCTGGAGCTGGTGAGCCTGGGGGTGCTGAGTCTGGAGCTACTGAGCCTGGGGGTGCGGAGCCCGCGGCCGCTGGACCTGCTCGTGTGGCGTTTGGCGGTGCTGGGCCTGCTGGTTCTCCCGGTGCTTCGTCTCGGCGGGAGCCACTCTCTCCACAGGAGCTGCGCGAGTGGTTTGCCCGACGCTGGAGGCGTACTACTGGAGCTGGTGCTTCTTCGGCTGCTGAGGGTGCTGGTGCCGCCGGTCTCGGAGGTGCTAGTCCTGCGAGTGCTACTGGAGTCGGCGCTGCTGAGGGTGTTGGCGCTAAGGCTACTGCTGTTAGTCCTGGCGGCGGTCCTGCTGCGGGTACTACTGGTGCTGCTGGAGGTACTGGAGCTGGAGGTGCTGTTGACGCTAGTGCTGCCGCTGGGGGTGCTGGTGCTGTTCCTGCTGTGTCTGGAGTCGCTGCGCGGCCTCGGCCGTACTTTGTTTCGCTCCTTCAGCAGGTTCTTGGTCTTCCTCCTCCCTTAGAGTGTCCACCGCCTGTCCAGTCGCAAACACAGTTACCACTGGTCTCCCCACTGCCTTCTCCTTCTCCGTACACTGGTCCTACTGGAGGTCTTGCTGAGCGTCGTGAGCCTGCGTCTCGTCCTGCGTCGCCTGTTCGTGCTGCTCGCACTAGTGGTCGCAGTTCGCGTCAGCGTCCTCTCCTGTCCTTGGCACGCACCGGATGTCTCTGCGTCCGTCCACTGCTCCTCTGCGTGCCCCTTTGCCCTCTCCTCCTGAGTCCTCTCTTCCTGTGCTTGCCGACCCTGAGTCGGACTCTCTTCGTGCTGCTAGTCCTACTGTCACGCATCTCCTTGCTACTGTCGTCACTGACCCTTCCTTTGAGTCCACTGTTGCGTCTGCTCTTGTTGCTGAGCTCGTCGAATTCGCTGCACGCTGTCGTCTAGACTACACTGCTAGTCTTGTTGCTGAGTCTGCGTCAATATGTCCTCCGTCCGTTGGGGGTGAGTGTGCTCTTGGCACGAACGTCCTTGAGGACAGGCAGGAGGAGTTCCAGTGTCTGGCAGCTGCTTCACCTCATCTCGCGTCCGTACTGCTTACCCCTGAGGGAGACCCGGATGCACTAGACATCCCGACTCCGCGCTCTTACGCGGAGGCCGTAGAGGGTCCCTACTCCTCTCAGTGGCAGGCAGCTATGGATGCAGAGATGGCTTCCTGGAAGTCCACAGGCACCTACGTTGACGCGGTTCCCCCTCCTGGGGCGAACATCGTCAGTGGCATGTGGATCTTCAGGGTGAAGCGGCCGCCGGGCTCTCCACCTGTCTTCAAGGCGCAGTACGTGGCTCGTGGCTTCGGTCAGCGGCAGGGAGTTGACTACTTTCAGACCTTCTCTCCCACCCTGAAGATGACCACTCTTCGGGTGCTACTACACGTAGCCGCTCAGCGTGACTACGAGCTTCACTCCCTTGACTTCAGCACTGCATTTTTGCAGGGTAGCCTGCACGAGGAGATCTGGTTGCGCCCTCCACCTGGCTTCACTGGGACTTTCCGTCCTGGCACCTAGTGGAGCCTCCGACGGCCAGTCTACGGTCTCCGCCAGGCAACGCGCAAGTGGCACGACACACTGAGGACTACACTTGCGGCTCTTGGGTTTGCTCCCTCTACTGCTGACCCGTCGCTGTTTCTACACACCGACACCTCTCTGCCGCCGTTCTACATCCTCGTGTACGTCGACGACTTGGTCTTTGCCACAGCTGACACTGCAGGACTCGCCCACGTGAAGTCCGAGCTGCAGAAGAGACACACGTGCACAGACCTGGGAGAACTGCGCAGCTACCTTGGCTTGCAGATCACCCGGGACAGAGCACGCCGCACCATTACCCTGACTCAGTCACACATGGTGCAGCAGGTCCTTCAGCGCTTCGGCTTCACGTACTCCTCGCCTCAGGCCACTCCTCTGTCTACTCGCCACTCGCTCTCAGCTCTGCCTTCGGATGAGTCCGTAGAGTCGAGTGGCCCGTACCCAGAGCTTGTTGGCTGCCTCATGTACCTGATGACCTGCACACGACCTGACCTTGCATACCCTCTTAGCATTCTTGCACGCTATGTTGCTCCTGGGAGACACAGACCAGAGCACATGGCTGCAGCGAAGAGGGTGTTGCGCTACTTGTGCAGTACGTCGGGCATGGGGCTAGTGCTTGGAGGGCGGAGTCCAGTGGTCCTCACTGGGCACGCGGACGCTTCTTGGGCAGACGACCAGGCTACTCAGCGGTCGTCACAGGGTTACACCTTCAGCCTTGGTTCCGGCTCTGTTTCGTGGCGGGCTACTCGCTCGTCTTCTGTTCTCGGCTCCAGTTGTGAGGCTGAGATCTACGCCGGGGCCATGGCTACTCAGGAGCTTCGCTGGCTTACCTACCTTCTGACTGACCTCGGAGAGCCGCCTCGTTCTCCTCCGGTGCTGTACGTAGACAACAAGGCCATGCTAGCCTTGTGTCGGGAGCAGTGCCTGGAGCACAGAACGAAGCACATTTCTCTCCGCTACTTTCTTGCTCGTGAGCTGCAGCAGCGTGGCCAGTTGCGACTTGCGTACATGGCCTCTGAGGCCAACACTGCAGATGTTTTCACCAAGGCACTTCCGCCTTGTGATCATCAGCGCTTCTGCACTCAGCTGGGTCTTGTGCCTGTCTTGCCTCACTTGCTCACCCCTTGACCTTGCTTGTACTCTTACATATATATATACTTGCTCTTGCTTGTTTAGCCTTATATATATATGTGTGCTCATGCATGTGAATTGGCCTTGTGGCCTTTACCTTGTGCTCGGACTGTGTGGTGACGTTGTGATTCACCCTAAGCTTTGTTTGCTTTGCCTGACTGGTCTTGTGACCCCTTGTTCTCCCCCACTTTGCCTATGGGGGTGTGTCAAATTATAATATTGTGTAGGCTATAGTGGGGTAGCCTATATGGGGTACACATTTCTAGGGTTGCATATTTGTATGACTTCCATTCCTTAGTCATCCTTCCTCGTTCTCATTTTCTCACCTTTCTACTCCTTCCTTTTTTCGTTTTGTGATGCTTGATTTCTTTCTTCACCAGGTTGCACGTACGCCAGACACAATGCCTGGCTCAATCGGGAAGTGTTGGATTTTGGGATCTGATTTAGATTGTTGTTATTAAATTTTGCATATTTTGTTTTCATTTCTTCCTATCTGTCCCTTTTGTTTGTGCATTTGTATGCGGTTTTTTCATCGTTAATTTGCCTTCGTATGTCCATATGTGTCATTGTGTGCATGCGCCCGTATCTGTTTATGCTTATAATTGCATCAACAATGCATGTCTGTAAATTTTAAAAAGATGTCTGAGTTCTATCATTTCACATAAGGTTCATTGGCGGACGAAGTGAGTCGTGTGTTGCCACTTCGAACTGGATTTAATAGGGTAGATCATTCTTTTAGAATTTGCAGATAGTGTTGTTTCATGTAACAGTTGATTATTCAGAATTTATGCTATTGACTTCCCCCTCATGCTAGGCAGGGGATGGCGGTAGCTTAGATTTTGGGTCGTTAACTGTCATGCATTAAATTATGTGCATGCATATGCATCATAATTTATAACATTATATTTAATAGTATGCATCCTATAATATTATTTTTGCATCATGCATCCATCTATCATTACCACGACACCATTTAATAGTAAAACATACTGATACATATAGTACAACATATCTGCACAAAATCACTGACAAAGAAAGATCATACAGTTCAATATACGATTCTTTGAACAGTATTCAAAACAACTCAAGTGCAGACGGTTTGAGAAGTTAGTGTAGTTTATAAATTTTATTTTCATATTTTATTAAAAATAATAAATATGAAAATAAAATTTGGCAAAATCGATTGTCAAGGGTTGCTTTGCAACCCAAAAAACCTCAGCCAATCCCGAGATTGGGTTGGAGGAGAAGGAAGTCCCGCCGAGAAGGTTGGTGGTATCGCGCGGCCGCAAAAGCACGCTCAATTAGCCAATGTGGCGGAACGACGGTTTTCCGCGGAAGGAACGGCGAACGACTTTTGGGAGTCGAAATGGGTTCGCGAACCTATAAATTCATCGTACAAGCAGCCATCAGGGGCAACATTGTGTTCACGAAAATCGTGAGCGTCGTCACCCTAGCCAAGGCCAACGGTTGGTTCTGAATAACCCGGGAGGTGGCAGAAGTGCTCCACCAAACACATTTTTGAAGGTCCGCCAAACACATGGGGTCTTGCGGAGCGTTCCCCTGTTTCTGGATGGCAAACCAACGGATAGGCTGCGGGATGCGCAGTTTTAGGGGGTTTGCGGGAGAGTTCCCCCGTTTCAATCTTTGACAGTTTGCTTCCTGCAGAAAGAGCAGAATCTCTGCAAACGAAACAATAGGCCGCAGGGTGAGAATCGTCCCATCCGATTACAATCAGAGCCGTGTAGAAATGTTTACCAAATTCATATGTAGTACATACAACACATAGATCAATCAAAATTCTTGAACAAAGCATGAGGTGAGGACACTCTTACCATTGGTGCAAATGTCACTCTAGGGTATGTACTTCTGGAAGACAAGAAACGGTGTTATATAACCACACATTGCATGTATTTACACGAATACAGCAATTTAAAATTGCCCAGCTCTAATATGTTCATCCAGACGCTGTGCATTGAGTGTGCCTGGCAGCTCTTGAAATCCTTCGTTGAAAATAGAGTAGGCACTGGTGTTAGTGGAAGGGGAAACGAGGGGGGGGAGGGAGAGAGAGGAGGCGGTGAGCATAAAAAAAAGGCTGCATAAAACAGTCGCCTTCTCAAAAAGACTGGGAAGCACAGGAACTCACCTTGCTTCCCCCTGCTGGCGTGTGCCAAGGTTGAAGAAGATGAGCGCAAAGCAGGTGCCAAGGATCTGCAGGGGTGTGGCGAGGTATGGGGGACATGAGGGGGCTTTGAGCTGACTCAGAAGGCAAAAAGGCTGCCCTTGCTGGCGTGTGCCGAGGTTGAAGACGATGAGCGCAAAGCAGGTGCCCAAGACCTGCAGGGGTGTGGCGAGGCATGAAGCCACATGGGGGGGGTTTAGAGTCGACTCAAAAGGCTTCTGGTTTTCTGGCGTGACCTGAGGTTGATGAAAACCAGGATCTGCTGGGGTGCAGCCAGGCATGGGTGAGGGCCGAGCTCGAAACAGACTGTAAGCAGCGGCGCAGTGATGACTGGCCCTATAACAAAGGGGCTGCTGGGATAGCTTGCTTACAAAGAGTGGGCCGAGCTCGAAATATAATTGAAGCAGCGGTGCAGCGATGAACCAGAGGATGACCAGCAGCCATTTGTGAGGAGACAGCCAGAAGAAGGGGACGAGGAGGAAACCTGGGATGATGGGGAAACGAGGGGGTCCATGAGGGAGGGGCAGGGGGAAAGGGTAGTGAGGCTGATATCGGGGGATTTGAAGAAAGCAGAGGAGGAAGGAACCGTGGCAAGAAGAGATGCCTTGACTGCAAAGAGAGGGCACCTGGAATTCTGCATTCGTCTTGTAGGAAGAGGAAGATTCGGCGCTGGAGAGGCGATGCCGATGCTGGGATGACAAATACCTGATCGCGAAGGGACAAGGGTAGAAAGAACAGGGGATGTGAGGAGGTAAAGGGGGGGCCTTTGAGTCGACTCAAATGAGGAAGATTCGGCGCTGGAGAGGCGATGCCGATGCTGGGATGACAAATACCTGATGAGAACGACAAGGGAGAGGGTGGGGGTGGGTGGGGGGTGGGTGGGGGGTGAAAGGTCGGTTTTGGGCAGGGCGATGGCGAGATGGATATAAAGGAAGAGGGGGTTATAAAGTGAAGCAGAAGGAATGAGAAGAGGAGAATCCAACGCAGAGACAGGCCAGATTTCAAAATTGGGGAAAATGAGGGGAGGGGGGGAGTGGAGGTTGGAAAGAGCACACAGAGAATTCAATCATAGGAGGTTGGGAAAGGGAGGGTTGGAGGTTGGAAAAGTAGACAAGAAATTCGATCATACGAGTCAGTGGCTGCAGCCAGAACGAGAAAATGGTTTTTTTCCTGTCTCACCTCCTCCTCTTCCTCCTCCACCTCCCCCACTCTAGCGTTCGCCACCTGCGGCGGGGGTGCTCTGGGCCGCACTGTAGCGAGTATGACGTCTGGGTGTGAGACGACGGGAGGCAAGAGGTGTGGGGGACGTTGGAAAGAGGGGTGATGTGGGAGGAAAGGAGGGGGGAGATTGCAGTTCTGGCTGTGCAGTGTGCACTGTCATGACGGACGCCCGACGGCCATGATTTATCGTTAATGACCAACAACGACCCTTCATGATCATGAATGGTCGTATGTCAATCTCAGAGTCAAAGTTTCCATGGTCAATCAGAGTCAATGACATGAGAAGGTACCGTCGTCTCGGAGATCCAACGTGGCAGCATCTGACACGCTTTCATCTTGACATGGATTAACAGATGCATCATCGCCGTCCAAACGTTTCGCACGATCCGACGGTTCAGACGACGAGGAGCAAGCCGAGTCGCCTGCGAGCACGGTTCCTCGCACAATGAGTGTTAACCGGTCGTCCGCGGGTAACCCTGTTGCTTCGCCAACCCGCTGTTTCAATTTGCCAAGCCGCACGTTAGCTGGTACGCTAATGGAGCACCTACGAAGCGCTCCAGGCGTCTTCACGTGAAGCGTCAACATATTAAATTACTCGTGATTTATTAAACAGGGGGAATCAGAAGGAAATAAAAGATCGAGGTGAAAAAAACAAGATAAATCTTGAAGAAGCTGAATCAGATTCTCGTTCAGTAACGGAAATCGCGGGTTCGTGCACCACTGCACGTGTGCTACCGACACTACCTTTCTTTCTGTGAGGCGACAGCCTACGACTCTACGTATTCGCCTCCAGTCATTCGTTAATCTCTAGGTTACTTGGTGAATAACATGCGCCTTGCTCAAGTAAAAACCAGCTGCGGTTCCTGCGGGCTGTGGGGGATGCGTGCGCGTGGTGAAGCAGTTGGATTCGGGGTGTGCAGCCTCCATTGGTTTCCGACATAAAGAGGATTTCAATACGAAACACTTGCAGTAAGTACACAATCTGAAACGGATAAACTAAAACACGGTAACCTGTTAAACTGTGCAGTAATTACACAATCCCTGCAGCAGCGCGAAAGACCCATTTCAGAACCCCCAGCACCACCCGACGTGTACCGTACATTCATTATCACTAAATCTGTGGCCTTCTTTTCGAAACTCTTGCAATAAATGGCATCAACATGTAGGCAAACTGCCCCTAGAGAAAGGAGTATCGCTGTCATGCTGGTTCTTACACAACCCCTGTAGGCAGTCTCACCATGAGCTGGCCTTCCATCACACTGCAAAAACACAACAAGCAACAAGGCACAAGTATGAGACACGCAAACACAACCACATAAGTACCGTATGAGCCAGCCTTCCATCACGCCACAACCTCACCTTCACAAGGGTAATATGTGACTCTCACTTCTCGGCATTGCAGAGCAAGAGACACCCGACCCACCTCTTGACGATAACACGAACATACCGACAGACAGAAACACAGACAGAAACATGCCGACGCACAGACGCACACCCCCCCACATGTTGGATCTCTGCCAAAAGTCGGCGAGAATGCAGCTTACTTGTTGACATTGCAGGGAGAGAAGCACTCGACCCACCTCTTGACGAAATCACCAACACACAGACGGACAGACACACAAACACGCAGACACACAACAATCCATATAGAAGCAGGAGAACAAAGAGGCCCACCTCCTGACGTAGTAGTAGCAGAAGTCAGCGAGAATGAAGGTCTGCACGATCTCTGAGAGCAGCACCATGGCAGGCCACATGCCGTAGCCTATGGTGGTCATGATGAAGCTGTGCCCGTCCATCACCTGGCGAGGAGGGGAAAAGGGGGGGGGAGGGGGGGGGGGGGGGGGATGGGGGGCGGAACGGAAACCAACAAGCAGGGAAGGGGAGCAGGAAATGAAGGGTTAGCAACAGTCAGCGAGGATACAGGGCTGTGTGATCTCTCAGTCTCTGAGTGTCAGAGAGCAGCACCATGGCGGGCCACATACCGTAGCCTATGGTCGTCATAATGAAGCTGTGCCCGTCCATCACCTAAAGGGGGGAAGGGAGGCAGGAGATGAAGGGGAAGCAGCAGTCAGCGGATGGAGGTCTGTGTGATCTCTAGGTCTGTTAGTGACTGAGAGCAGCACCATGGCGGGCCACATGCCATAGCCTATGGTGGTCATGATGAAGCTGTGAGGGGTTACAACAACAAGGAGAGGGGGAGATGGAGGGAAAGACACGAGCATCATGAATGTGAAAAGATAAAATGAAATTGCGGGGATTGCTAACTTATCTTGTACCATGTGGGTGGGAGGACCCGAAGGTTGCCAGGAAAACGTGAAACATGAATTGCTTATGACGAGGCTGGCAAAATTTGTGATCTTGTCTTGTAGCAAAAAAAAAGGGGGGGGGGGGAGGGGGGGCTTTGAGGTGCCCGTAAGGGTGCATCCTAACCTTGTACCAGAGAGAAGAGCAAACCACGAAGTAATTTCGCCAAGGTGCCTTTGGAGAAGAGCAAACGGACGAGAAGAGGTTCCAAGCCGAGTGCATGAGCAGAAAGTGCATGCGCGCTAGGGATGTGGCGCGTGCTATAGCCTGCAGCAGTTGCAGTACAAACCATGAAGTAATTTCGCCCTGCTACAGGCAGCTAGAAGTGCGAAGTGCAATGCCTCATGGCATGCAGCAAAGCAGCAGCGGCACTGACCTGCAGGATCCAGTGTGCGCAGGAGAGGAAGCGAGCGATACCGAGCGCAAAGACATAGTGCGCTGTAAAGGGCTCCACTAGCTGGGGACGGGATGGGCGGAGGGAGGAGCGGTGGGGGGGAAGAGAAGAGGGGGAAAGAGTGGGAGAGGTTTAGTGGTTTGAGCTGATACCGAGAGCAAAGACATAGTGTGCCATGAAGGGTCTCACTAGCTGGGGAAGGGATGGAGGGAAGGCGGGAGAGAGGGGGGTGAGGAAGGGGGGTGGCGGGTAAAGAAGGTGGGAAAGAATGGTTGATGTTGAATAGGAGAGGTTGAATGGCCTGGGCTGATGATGCCCTGGGCTGATGCCCAGCTCAGAGACATAGCGCGATGTGAACGGCTCCACTAGACTTGACGAGTGCGAGAGGGGACGGGCGAAGCAGAGATGAGATGCACTAAGATGGGGACATGGAAAGGGGGGTTGGATGGGAGAGAGGGAGAGAGAGGGCAAGGGCAGAGCGATGAGACAAGGTGCGGTGTGAAGGGCCCCAGTAGCTGATGGCATGAGGAGGAAGGCGGTGCAAGACAAACGGGTAGGGGGACGGGGGATAAGAGGGGGTTTGGGGGGGTAGCCGACGCTGTTGGGGGGGTTTGGGGGGGTAATCAACGCTGTTGGGGGTGCGAGGCAGATGAGGAAGGAAGGATACGAAGGCTATGGGGACGGGAGCATGGGATTGCGGGAGGGGCTGTAAGCATTACGCATCACGTTGTATATAGCTTCGGCTCATCCTTGCGCTCATCCACATTCTGCTGAGTCATGCTGCTTCACACTCATTAGCCCCCCATCCATCGTGCTCAAGATTCGATAATCCAGGCGTTTGGCTTAGCCACCCCCAAATTCCTGAATGTTCCGTTCTCGATATCCATGCAGCCAGCCACCACACATTCCCCCGGGCTTGAGTTAGCTCATGAGGTTGGCTCTTGCCTTCTTCCCACAATCACTCCTTCCATTCTAACCAATCAGACTTCCTACTCCCCCCGTCTACGCCAACTTTCCTCCTCGCCTCCCCCTCCCCTTGCACTCACCTGGTACCCCCAGTCACCCCGGTTCACCTTAGCGTTCTGCATGACGCGCAGCTGCTGCAGCACTCTCCCTCCCCCTTCCCCTCAACGCCCAATCTACGCCAAGTGCACCCCTTTCCTCTCCCACCCCCCGATTCTCCCTGCTATCACATGGCGTTCTGCATTACACGCAGCTGCTGCAGCACCGAGACAGCCTCAAAATAGACGCAGAAGAGCGACCCCCACCCCACCCCTCTCCCTCCCTCCCTGCAACGCCCACTCTATGCCAAATGCACCCCCTTCCTCTCTCCCCTTCGCCTCCCCCCCCCTGCTCACCTTGGCGTTCTGCATGACCCGCAGCTGCGGCAGCACGGAGACGGCCTCGAGGTACATGCAGAAGGGCGAACCCCTACCCTTCCCCTTCCTCTCCCCCACTTCATCTATGCCAAGCGCACTCCCTTCCTCTCCCATCCCCAGTTTCTCCCCGGCGCTCACCTTGGCGTTCTGCATGACGCGCAGCTGCGGCAGCACGGAGACGGCCTCGAGGTAGACGCAGAAGGCCCAGAGCACGCGGTTCACGATGAAGTGCGACGTGCGCGGATGCACCAGCAGCGCCAGGATGGCGCACGGCGCCAGCTGCGGGGGAGGGGAGGGCGGGGGAAGGTGGGAAACGGGGGAGGCGGGAGGGGGAGAATGGGGGGGCAAGGAGGGGGAAGGAGAAGGGAGGTGTGGGGGGAAATATGGGAAGGACAGGATAAGGTGAGGGGACAAGGCGAAGAGAAGGGGAACAAGGGGGCCAGGGCGGGAAGGCCCAGAGCACGCGGTTCACGATGAAGTGCGACGTGCGCGGATGCACCAGCAGCGCCAGGATGGCGCATGCCGCCAGCTGCGGAGACAATAATGGAGAGGAGGGGGGAATGAGGGGAGGAGGGGGAGGTGGGAGGGGGAAGGAAATGTGTGGGGGGAAAGAGGGTGGGGGGAAAGGAAATAAAGGAGGAGAAGAAGGGCGATATTTGTAAGGGGAACGGGAGCAAGAGCAAGAGGGGTGACGGAATGACCTCAGCACGCAGTTAAATCTTGACAGAATCAGACATGCAATATTTTTTTCTATATCGGCTTCCAGATGTTCAAATGCGACTGATCTCGCAGTAAGTTAATGGCTCGAAACCGCGAAAATGTCAAGCAAAGAAACGCGTACACCTAAATCTGTTGCCAGAGTAGCAATGCCTTCCGAACCCGAGGAGCGGAAATGAAATTGCAAGGTGTAGGTCACCGGCGTCAGGTCCCGTGTTGATGGTGAATTCGTTATAATCACACATTTTTTCGTTACTCACAATGTAAACGTGCGCGAGGTTATCAAGGTCTTCGGACAGAGTGGAGCGCAGCTGAAATCGCATGGTGTAGATGACCCACGCGGTGGTAACCAGAGTCGCGAGATCCAATAGCGTGTGAATGTCCTTCTCCATCATCATGCTACAGTACAGTCGGACGGCCAGAAATATCGCTGTCAGCTCCTGAGACTTGAGGGAGAGGCCTGCCAACAGCTCGACGGAGAAAAAAAAAAAAACAGGGAGACATGGATAATGATGAAAAATGAGAAGGCTGTCAAGCTCGAAAAAAAACAAGGAATTCGACAAGAGAAAAACAATTTGACATCAAAGCAATGTTCATCTCTAACATCGCTTTGCGCATCATTGCAGGGCAGAAACACTACGGAGAGGTAAAACAGTACGAATTGCCAAGTATGAGAAGATAAGGCTGGGTCTAAGTTGATGTTCTGAAACTCTTTTTTAAGGATGGACGGCGTCCGAAGGCATTAGGGAAAAATAGATTCGTGCAGCTTCTTCGTTCGCGTTCTCTGCTCTTTCCGCGGTCGCTTAAGGAAGCGGTGACCAGAGGAGAACAGATAAGTAAACGCTTTAAGAGATAAAATTCGGTCAAAACCTAAATGAAAATGGTAAGAATCACGGACCTGCAAAACACCACAAAGAGCCAACCCACCTTCACGGTGCCTATTCAGAAATAAGCGTCTCAAAACGCACCTGCACAGTTCTTTTCTCGCGTCAGCTTGTAGACGAGCACGCCGATACCGATGGCATGGATGGCCTCAGCAGCGACGAAGAGGTTGTCATGATCCACCACCATGAATCTCAGAAATATCAGCGCCGCAATCCCGATGCATACGCCGAGAAACGCCTTAATCTTAGGCGGCTGCTTTTTTAACCACCACACGGCGATCTGAACGGGATTCTTCGGCCGCCGATCGGCACCCATTGAGCTTTATTGTATGAGCCTGCGCTGTGCGCTTTGTAGCCAAAACTGAATACTAACTGCGATATGTAAGGTGTTGTCACAGGATACAGATGACCGACGTAAGGAACGAGGATGAGTAGGAGAAGGAAATCTGAGAATACTAGAATGTGATTTCCTGTCACCAAACAATTTTCTAGGAATTAGATGTGAGCGTCGTGGTCAGCAAACTAAGGGCGTATTTCTGGATTCGGTCCTCCGGAATTCGCGTCATCCGTCGTGGGATCCAATCGAAAAAATCAAATCTCAAAACTTGGGTTTTCTGATTGGCTCCCTCAAATTCGGATGACACCAATCCAGGGTGACACAAAGTTAGAAATACGCCCTGAATGAAGTTGGATATCCAAGGTGGTGACTAGCGAAGACTGGCGAGAGCTGGCGATGTTACCCACGAAAACTGTAGAGAGTCTGCATAATTCAGGAGTTCCGCAACTCTCGGCCAGGCGACAGTTGGAAGCTGAGTTGGTTGCGGCCAACCAACCGTCAGCTAGTGTAATTCTGGCAAACTGCATCTGTGTGCTGACTACGGCAGCCAAGAGAATGACGAAACGCGTACGCGTCTCAAGTTCGGATTTAGAAGAGTGGCTTTATGTTTGCATGTAGTCGACTCTATACTACAGGCTTGCTCATATTCCCAGCTTTACTAACGTTAGCTGCAAGCTGAGAAACATGAGGCACACACAAGGTATGTTTCAGCTTGGAATGTTATGAACAGGAGATATTATACGTTGTTATATTGAACTCGTGTATGCTGAAGAGTTCAACGCTGCAAGATGCGAACTAGCTTGTTTATTTAATGACCTCTTATGACATGCCCTTATCTAGGTACACTTTAGCTGTGGAATATGTCGCAGCGCATACTCGTTTCATCCACGTCCCTACCCCCGCTACATGAACAGCAGAGGAACGAGCACAAGCTGACCTGGAACACTTCAACCACTGTCAACACGGCGGAGCTCGGAGCGAGCTTACCAGGCAAAGGCATGGCGGGAGCGCCACCACAACCAATCAGAAGCGGCAATCCCAACCAAGCACGGCATGGAGACTTCCTTGGGGTTCCGCGGGGCTGGGGACCGCGGAAGCCCTGAGGGGTGCTACAACTGATGACGCAGATACGCGCCGCTTCCCCGTCCTCACCTTTCCCTCTTCCCCCCTTCCCTGCGGAAGCTTATTTTGGGCCTCCCTTTGCCCGCGAGGGCGGCTATCGCGAAAGGATTTCCTCGAACGCTGGCGAACATCAGACGGTCTCGCAATGGGGGAAATGGAAAGTCGTGAGTGTTTTTCACGAATAACGGCGAGCGTCGGTGAGTGTTTCGTTAGGCTTGAGAGCACCTGCGACTGAGAGTGGAAACCAGATGTTTTGGGGGAGGGGGAATATTTCGACCACAAGCAAAGCATCTTGAAGCAGCGAGTATTGAAAGGTCACGACAAGTCGTCACGACTCGTGCGTAGTGGTGCCTAGCAAGAGGAAAGGAAGGTTTGAGTTTCGTTTTATTATCGGCTGTGTTTGATCATCTATTTCTTGTTTGGTGCGCTTCATTGAAACACACAGCCGTTGCTCGCAGCTACCTCCTCGTTGTTTGTACCCGCCCGTCGCTCGTCCGCGTTCACTATAAGGTCGACTCAAAAGTCACGTGCGGTCCGTAGACATCTTTTTCACACAAATAAGCAAATAAGCGCTTAAACTGGAACCATCAATATTTTCAGCAGCTTCTGTCTCATTTTCCCGTCGCATTAGTGGTCCCGTAATTTTAGAGTACTATTTGCATAGTCACCCGATTTGTTCTTAATTCTATTTACGTAGTCGCCCGCCATGGGGTGCGGTAGCAGCAGCATATCGAGCCACATGCCCTCGATGATGCTCTCTGAGGGCTCCGCGTATGGCAAGGCGCGAAAGTCGGCCGCTAAGGACCTTGTCGACGCGCACAAGGAGTTCTACAACGCGTCCTCCGCTTACGCGGACTCTCTCAAAACCGCCGGCACCGCGCTGTTAATCTACTGCGAGGGGACGAATATCTTCATCGGTTCCGCGCTCGGGGCGAATGTTCCGCCGCAGGCCTTCCAGAACGTTCCGCCAGTGCAGGTGTCGGAAGTTTCCGGGGAAGGCGCGGCCGCGGGAGATACGGCGGAGTCCGCGGCGGGGAACGCGGTGGAACAAAGTGGGTCGGGGGCGTCTAATTCGATTGTGCTTGCGGGTTCCGGAAGTTTCGCCGCGTTGCCTGCGCCGACTCCCGTTCCGCCGCAGCCCGTTGCGCCTTCCCCGTCCCCTCCCCCTCTGCCAAGAGGCGCGGTCCCGGCGGGGGCTTCTGGCGCAACTCCTCCGCCAGGCGCCGGCGGACTTCCGCCAGCCTATCCGTACGACTCCGCACAGTATCCACCACCTCCCTCCGGTTCCGGTTACCCTCCTCCCCCTCCCGGTTCCGGCTACCCTCCGCCGCCCCTGATCGGCGGCGGAAACCCTCCCCCGCCGGGAGGTTCCGCGTATCCCCCGCCGCCCCCGTATCTAGGCACTCCGCCGCCCTATCAGGGCACTCCTCCCCCTTACCAGTCCAATTCTGGCGGGTATGGCCCTCCGCCGCCATATCCCCCCCAGGGCACTCCCGCTCCGCCGTTCCCCGGACATGGCTCCCCCGGCGGGGCTCCGCCTCCCGCGGGGGGCTACTCAGGGGGATACTCGGGGGCATATCCGCCCCCTCCGCCGCCTGGCGGAGCGTACAGCGCACCCCCACCTGCGCCCGCGGGCGGAGCGGGGGGATGGGAGCAGCGGCCGCAGGGGCAGCTTCCCCCTCCGCATCCCGCGGGAAATTCCGTGCAGATGCTGAGCAGCTCCGGAAATTTCGGCGCGCCAGGCGCTTCGGGAATGATGGGGGGGTCATCGGGGATGCTAGGCGGATCGGGGCAAATAATAGCCTATGTTGGTCCTAGCGGCGGCGCGGTTCTAGGCGACAAGTGGGCGGACGAGTTCGCTAAGAAGGTGAACGCGCATTTCCTAGAAGCTTCCGCGCGGATCACGGCGCTGGTGGAGCTCCTTAAAGTCGGGGCGCCCATTCCGAAGAACGCGCTTCCACCGCTGACGGTGGCGGCGGCTACTAAGGAGGGCGGGCAGCTGGAGAGTATTGGCGACACGGTTCAGAAGCTGCTCAACTGGGAGCGCGATATTAAAGACAAGATCTGGGTGAGTAAATTCCCGAGGCGCGTCCGGAAATGAAACGAGGGGGATTGCAGACTGGTCTTGCGCGGAGCTCTCGAGAGCGTGTACCCCCACTGGTCTCACCTCTCCCCTTACCCCCCCCCCCCTTTCCCCCTTCCGCCTCTCCCTCCCCTCCCCTCCGGTCCCCCTGCATCAGGACATGGAGACGATTCGCGCGGAGTTGAAGAGCAAGGACAAGCGCGTGCGCAAGGAGACCGCGCGCGCGAGCGGGAACGCGAACGCGGATCCGCGCAAGCTGGAGGGCGCGCAGGTGAAGCTGGGGGACGTGCAGCACCGCATGGCGGGCGCGAGCGAGCGCGTGGTGACCACGTGTCATGCGGTGGAGGCGTATAAGACGGACCTGCTCTTCCCCCAGCTGCTCCGCCTGCTGCCCTGGTGCGTTGGGGAGGGAAGTAAGGAGGGAGGGCGGTAGGGCGGTAGGGAGGGAGGGAGGGAGGGACGGACGGACGGACGGACGGGCGGACGGACGGACGGGCGCTAGCGCGCGCATGTACACACGCACACAGCGCCCGAATGGCGTATGATCATCAACAGCAGCTGCGCGTGGCACAAGTGCCCTCCTCGTTTCCCTCGAAACCCACCACACCCGCCCTCTCCAGTCTGGTTACCACATGGCACTCCCTCTCCAGTCTGGTTACCACATGGCACTCCCTCTCCAGTCTGGTTACCACATGGCACTCCCTCTCCAGTCTGGTTACCACATTGCACTCCCTCTCCAGTCTGGTTACCACATGGCACTCCCTCTCCAGTCTGGTTACCACATGGCACTCCCTCTCCAGTCTGGTTACCACATGGCACTCCCTCTCCAGTCTGGTTACCACATGGCACTCCCTCTCCAGTCTGGTTACCACATGGCACTCCCTCTCTCAGCTGCTCGTGAGCGTGACGAACATGCTCCTCCCCTCCGCGTTCCCTCTCTCTCCACCCCCTCCCCCTCCCTCGCCCCCTCGGTCCTCTGTCTGTTGTCCTCGTGGCACTCGCCCTCTTTCAGTGGCACTCCCACTCTTGGCTGCAAGTGAGCATGACGCAAGTGTTCCTTCCCTCGCCCACAAGTGTCGCACAGATGCGCCTTCCCTCCTCATCCCCTCCCCCCCCCCCCCCCCCCCACACCTATCCGCCCACGTGTTCTTACCCTCTTCGTCAACACCCCCCCTTCCCATGTGATTAAAGAAGGGTTCTGAGACGTCTCAAAACCCTTTTGAGTCAACTCAAAAGTCAACTCTTCAATCACGTGTCCGTCCGCCCACGTGTTCTTTCCCTCTTCGTCAGCACCCCCCCTTCCCATGCATCCTGCACCCTCTCTCCCCCCCTTGTCCCCCCCCTCTCCCACCCCTCTCCCCCCTCCCTCTCCCACCCCTCTCCTCCCCTAACTCCCCACCCTCTCCCCCCTCTTCCCCCTCTCTCTCCCTCTTCTCCCCCCCAGTCTGGTGTCCACGTGGCACTCTCTCTCGCAAGTGCACGATCAGCAGCAGCAGCTGGCGACCATGCTGGCCAATCACTACATGCCACCTGTCACCCACGAGGGAGCCACCACTGCCGGGCAGGCGCCACTTGCACCCGGCGTCATGCAGGTGCGCGGTGGGGTGGTTTGGGGTGTGGTGGGTTGGGATGGACTGTATTGGATTGTTATGGATGTGGTTTTCGAGGCCCTTTAGTTTGTGTGTCCTTCTCTCTCCTTGCTTTCTCCTGGTGACCTGAATCCCTCACTCCTCCTTTCTCTTCTCCCAAACCTCCCCCCCTTGCTGCCACAGGTGCCCAGCACCACAAAAGCGCAGCACGAGGCGACTAAGAAGCTGGACGACGCGTTCAAGAAGTGGCACTCCTCGCTCAGGTAACCTCCTGAATGGCAATGAATGTACACTTGCATGTCATTCAGTGTTTGAGTCACTGGGTGGCACTCCTCGCTCAGGTAACCCCCCTGGGTGTTGGAATTCCCTTGATGGCTCAGGCTTGATTCAGGCTGTGAGTGAATGTTCACGTGGATGTACACTGTGAATGTTCACGTGGATGTACACTGTGAATGTGACTCAAACAAAGCCTTGGATGTCAGTATTTTGAGTCGAGTCACTGTTGAGATTTCTCCAAGGCACTTTTTGGGAATTACACACGAGGCGACTAAGAAGCTGGATGATGCGTTCAAGAAGTGGCACTCCTCGTTCAGGTATGCCTGGGTGTCAATGTGAGGGAAATAGATGAGTCGACTCAATTCACCCAGCACCACCAAGGCACCACAGCACAACATGAGGCGACTAAGAAGCTGGATGATGCGTTCAAGAAGTGGCTCTCCTCGCTCAGGTAACCTCCTGAATGGCAATGAATGTACACTTGCATGTCATTCAGTGTTTGAGTCACTGTTGAGAATTCTCAAGCACTTCTGAGAAATACACACACACAAGGCCCTCCCATCCCACCCCTGAACCCCCTTCCCCCCCAACTCCCAGTGTGCTGTGTGCGGCACAGCGCAAGTTCTTCTCAGCACTCATCACCTGGGTGCGAAAGACCCTCGCCTTCCCCCCACTCTTCCCCCTGGCTCATGTGCCGCCCCTCTCATCTTTCTCCCCCATTCTCCCCTTTTTCCCCCCTTTTCCCACCCCCAGTGTGCTGTGTGCAGCGCAGCGCAAGTTCTTCTCAGCGCTCATCACCTGGGTGCGAAAGACCCTCGCCTTTCCTCCAGACTTCCCCAAGCCGCCTCTCCCTGGCACGGCCCCTCCCCCGGGGCAGTACGTGGCCAGCTGGGCGCCAGGGGGTGCTGATGGTGCTGCTCCGCCCCAGCCTCCGCCTCCCCCGCCAGGTAAGCCGCCTTCACCACTCCCCCTCCGTCTCTCCCTGGCACGGCTCCTCCCCCGGGGCAGTACGTGGCCAGCTGGGCACCGGGCGGTGCTGATGGCGCTGCTCCTGCTCCACCTCCTCCCCCTCCACCAGGTAAGCTGTGACTCCCCCAGCCTCCTCCCCCTCCACCAGGTAAGCTGTGACTCCCCCAGCCTCCTCCCCCTCCACCAGGTAAGCTGTGACTCCCCCAGCCTCCTCCCCCTCCACCAGGTAAGCTGTGACTCCCCCAGCCTCCTCCCCCTCCACCAGGTAAGCTGTGACTCCCCCAGCCTCCTCCCCCTCCACCAGGTAAGCTGTGACTCCCCCAGCCTCCTCCCCCTCCACCAGGTAAGCTGTGACTCCCCCAGCCTCCTCCCCCTCCACCAGGTAAGCTGTGACTCCCCCAGCCTCCTCCCCCTCCACCAGGTAAGCTGTGACTCCCCCAGCCTCCTCCCCCTCCACCAGGTAAGCTGTGACTCCCCCAGCCTCCTCCCCCTCCACCAGGTAAACTGTGACTCCCCCAGCCTCCTCCCCCTCCACCAGGTAAGCTGTGACTCCCCCAGCCTCCTCCCCCTCCACCAGGTAAGCTGTGACTCCCCCAGCCTCCTCCCCCTCCACCAGGTAAGCTGTGACTCCCCCAGCCTCCTCCCCCTCCACCAGGTAAGCTGTGACTCCCCCAGCCTCCTCCCCCTCCACCAGGTAAGCTGTGACTCCCCCAGCCTCCTCCCCCTCCACCAGGTAAGCTGTGACTCCCCCAGCCTCCGCCCCCTCCACAGGTAAGCTGTGACTCCCCCAGCCTCCGCCCCCTCCACCAGGTAAGCTGTGACTCCCCCAGCCTCCGCCCCCTCCACCAGGTAAGCTACCGCCTCTCCCCGGCACAGCTCCTCCCCCGGGGCAGTACGTGGTCAGCTGGGCGCCAGGGGGCGCAGATGGCGCTACTCCTCAACCACCCCCTCCTCCTCCACCAGGTAAAAATTGCATCCCCCACCCCCAGTTTGCTATTGCCTACCCTCCCCTCCCCTCCCCTCTCCCGGGGCAATACGTGGCCAGCTGGGCACCAGGAGGCGCTGATGGCGCTACTCCTGCTCCGCCTCCCCCTCCGCCAGGTAAGCTGTCCCCCTCACCACATCGTCTTCCTATCCCCCTCCATCTCTCCCCGGCACGGCCCCTCCCCCGGGGCAGCATGTGGAGGGGCCGTTGGGGGCGCTGAGGAACAACGGGTGAGAGGGATGGATTGACAGACAGGGAAGCAGAAGCACGTGAACGGCCGTGTCACGGCGCTGGATGCGTGTTGTGTCTTACTGCTTCTCCTCTGTCCGTGTCCGCCACCAGCAGCCCCTCCTCTGTTCCCTCGGGCCAGCAGCACGTGAAGGGGCTGCTGGTGGCGCTGGGGAATGACTGGGTGAGAGAGAACGATGGATTGATTGCAAGAGAATGAGGTGAAGGATGCTTCTCTGCACTGAGTGGCTCTTGCGTCTCACTGCTTCTCTGTCCGTGTCCCGTTCCCTCTGGCCAGCTGCACGTGGAGGGGCCGCTGGTGGGGCTGGGGAATGACTAGGTGAGAATGATGGACCAGCTACCAGAAAAGCAGGTGAAGGATGCAGTGATGGGGTCCTGGAAGGCCTTTGTGTCTCACTCACTGCTTCTCCTCTGTCCTTTTTTCTGCTTTGCCAGGCCAGCAGCATGTGGAGGGGCCGCTGGTAGCGCTGGGGAATGACTGGGTGAGAACGATGGACCGGCTGCCAGAGAAGGAGGTGAAGGATGCCGTGATGGGGTTCTGCGGGTGGATCAACCAGGCTTATGAGCGGCAGAAAGCAGAGATGAAGCAGCTCAAAATCCTGCAGGACAGCTTAAAGCAGGTGAGAGGAGGAATGGGGTTAGGGATCCGGGGAGTCTAGAAGACTTTTAACGCTTTCATTACTTGCTCACTTCATGCCACCTTTAGTTACTGCCATTTTCCAGATTTCATTACTTGCTCACTTCATGCCACCTTGAGTTACTGCCTTTTTCCAGATTTCATTACTTGCTCACTTCATGCCACCTTTAGTTACTGCCTTTTTTCCAGATTTCATTACTTGCTCACTTCATGCCACCTTTAGTTACTGCCTTTTTCCTTCATCCTTTATCCATTTCTTGGTTGCCAGCTACTAGAAGCACTGTTCTGCGTCTGCATTTTCTTGACTTGGCTCACCTTAAACTCCGAAACCTGACCCCCTTTTGCCACAAGCAGTTGTCCAAGCAAGAGTCTAAGCTAGAACAGCTGCAGCAGAAGGAGAGAGAATTGCAGCTGGCCCTCGGAGGCCCAGCAGCAGCAGGCGCAGAAACACCAGCAGAGCAGCAGGCAAAGCAAGCGAAGGCAGCAGCAGCAGCAGCCGAGGTTGCCAGCTGCAGAGTTGCCTTGGAGAATGCGAGAAACAAGGTGAATGCGGAAAGTGTGGCGCTGGAAAGGCTAGGAGCTGATGCCAGGGCAGCTGCTTTATCCGGGCTGAGACAGGGTCTGCCAGTAGTATTCGAGAATGCTGGAAGGTTTTCAGGGACAGCATCGCAAGCGTATGCCATGTTGCAGACACAGCATGCGCCATGGCTTCCAGTGCAAGTGTAGTTTAGGATCACCTGGGCAAAGTTAGCACTTGTTTTTCAATCTAGTGATTGTTCTCTGGCTCCCAACTGTGTAACATTAACTTTCCAATGAGCAGCTGTAGAGATGTGCTATATTGTATAATGGTCTGGAGTTTTTTCGCAAACACATTCCCAAGGGCGGTCAAAGAACTTCAGTAGCCTTCTTGCATCCAGGGGATCTTGTGCCTTGTGCATGCGTTGCTGTGCCAGGATATCTCCCAGCATGGTCATGTTGGGCCTGGACCCTGAAAGAGCTGGAACCAGAGCAGGTCCGTATGGTTGAAACGTTTCCTGCACAACAAGCAAATGATGAGCACAATTGTGGCTCCAAATTTGTTGGAAAGTTGCATGGACATGCTTATTGTGCAAATTGTCAGCCACTTACTTTGAAATCCCCAAGGTAGAAGCGGTGACCTCGTAGCATCATTCCCATGTTGCCACCAGCAGTCATCATAAAGAAGTCACTGTCGCCAAAAAGTGCAACGGAAGGGGCTTGAAGGACACTGACACAAACAGATAAAACTCCGAAACTCATCAGCAGCAAAAAAGTCAGGCCTGCTCACCTGTGAAGGCAGACAATGTAGTCGATAGCAGCAAGCACAGATGGTCTGCCGACCAGCTCGTTTCCTGTGCTTTTCAATAAGTCATTCTTCGTTGCAATGTGGCGAGGAAATGCTCGATGCAATGGCCTCATAAGCCTTGCTCCATCATTCATCGTTCCTCCAGCAATGTAGATGGTAGTCATATTGTCAACTTCCAAAGCCTGGCTTGGGGTCATCAGACACAAAAACGCATAGAAATTCCTGCATGGACAGACCTTGGGATGATAGGTGGAAGCAGTAACACCATAAAGGCCGACATACCTTCAGAATGTGAGCCGTCTCTTGAGGGGTTATGGGGCAAAGACCTGCTTGTTTTCTCAATTCGTTTTCTGTAACGTTGGACTGAAACGGAATGTTTCTCTCAGACGCCCATTTCTTCATGTACGCATTTGTTGCTTCATCATACAGGCAGCCTGAACAGGCCCACAAGCAAACACTTTTTGTAAGTTCTTAAACTCGATGCAACCAAAGCGATGCAACCTCCTGTAGTGCAGGTTGTGAAAGCACCTGTATGGACAATCCAGTCAGGTTCATATCGTAGATGAACAGCTACGTAAGGACCAGTGCTCTGAAGCTTCTGAACAGCCTGAAGACCCATGCTGCATTAACATACACTGCAAAATGAACAGGCTTGTAATGAAAATGAAACTGAGTGTAGCAGTACCGGCACAATACCTTAAAATAGGGCCCGCGAACTGAAGAGCATGGTACTGAGCACGACATCTCAAGTGCTGCCAAAGAATGAGCGGAGCCATGGGTTAGAAAGTGACTTTAAACATGAGAAGATGCAATGCTAAAAACAATATACCAAACCTGAAGTGGGGTTGGAAGATCTTCTTGAAGCTGCATGAAAAAGTAATTAAACACAACGAGCCCGTATTTCTGAAGAAGTGGGAACGCATTCTTGATGTACCATTCTGGCTCGAGGGCCTCTGAAGGGAGGCTTATGGCGGCAAGCCTTTCTAAAGATGAAAAATTCAAGCTTGCAGGAACATCTCTGGGTCAGGGAGGGAAGTGTTAGCACAGTGGTTACTAATAGTCCTTTTTTTTTTCAGGAACTTCCTGGAAGCACAGTGCTTAGCACAGTGTTAGCACAGTGCTTAAGACATCTTACTCAATCACTTCCACATCTTTCTTCAGGGTCTGAACGAAGTGCGGGACACTGAAAATCTCAGAGAACTTGCTGCATAGTACATGAATAGTGGCATAAGAATTGAATGGGAGTGAAACAGAAAGGACAATATTTGCCATGTATGTTTCGTGAGGCTCACCTTTGGTCTCCCCAGGCTGGATGTACGATTAATTTGGGAACAATGAGAGTGGCATTCATAATCTTTGCAACAACCACTGCGTTGGCAATTCCTCTTCGTTGCTGATTGAGACCACCCCCGACGGATACATAAAGGTACCGCTTCTCTCCTGGTGACGTACGTGGAGAATCAGAACTCGAACACGTCGCAATTGATCGCGAACATGGTATGAAGCAGAACCTCTGTAAGTCGGGAGCCCACCTTCTTGATGTTGGCCCAGGTTGTCGGAAAGACACGAGATTCTAGTTCGAGGCTGCTTCCAGGAAGGGTTGAAGAGCTTGTGAAACGGATTTCCCTTAAGTGCTGCACTCGAAGCTGAAATCTCAGCGGAGGCGCGCATCAGAACGGAAAACGATAAAACCATGGACCAAGAGATTATCTTGAGTGGACTTGGACTACACGCCATAGCGATACTCAAAACTAAATTCAGCTACTGTATCTTGCGCGAAGGCTTAACAACAGGCTATTACGGGGCAAGCGGCCCGGGAGATCTGTCTGGCAAGAGGCGGAGGCTCCGCTTGGTATTGCTGAGACACTATACCAAGCGTTGAGCAGTTATTACAGATTCGAGATTACAGATCACAGAGTATTGCAGAAAAGGCTTTCGAAACCCACCTTTCGAATATGCCTTGGATTTTCTGTGGTCTCCTTTCTACTCGCCTTGTGATTTGGCTTGAAGCTTGGCCCGCAATTGACCAGCAGGAGCGGGAACGGTGGCGATGATGACCAGATGCCAGATGGCGCGAGGATGAGTTTGGGTCCAGGCACAAAGCAGGCTGGACAAACTTCAAGGCAAACCCGACAAGCTTATGAAAACCCGACAGTAATGAGTTCGTAACAAGTTCGAGCTGTTTCGTCAGAGCTGATTTCGAAATCTGGCGACGGCCCTGACCCAAGCGAAAATTTTCTGCGAAAGAGTAAACCAATCAAAATTACTCGGACTTAGCCAACTCCGAGCCGTCCGATTGATTGCGTAGAAATTACCAATCGACAGACTGACGCAACTCACGGCCTCTCCTCTCCTGGACCAACCATGGACTAAGCCTTGTGATTTGTGAAGAATACCAAGCACCACCCACACGTACATTCCACTTCGTTCTCGTCTGGATCTGCAGCTTGTTCAGATATGAGCTGCAAGCTCAAATACACACACACGTCGATGACCACTTTAGCTCGCAAGATGGCGCGCCTTTCTCTGAAAGTGGTGTTGTTGTGTAGCTTTTTTCTAGCTGCGATCTCTTTTGAGCAAAGCGGAACGAATTCTGTGAGGCTCGAGATGGATTCAGAAAGTCCTGTGAAGTCAAATCCAAGCTCCGATTTTTTCCTGCACCACACTTTCCCACGAGCTAGTCGACTTCGGCCATGTTTGTTTAGGAGACCAGGCGAATTTCAAGGTCGGTATCATAGTCCGACATTTCAGCTTGCGAGATGGCATATATTAACTGATATATCTTGTGTTGCAGTTTCGTCGCTGAAGTCGAATGGTTTGTTGTATGTCTACGTAAGAGGTGACCTCTATCAGCAGATGCGGGCGATTGCTAACTCGGTTGTGATTGCTCGCATCCTCAATGCGACACTTGTTGTCCCGATCCTCCTTGCTAAGTCATCGCACGAGGAGATCAGGCAAGTCGGCACGATTTCCCGCAATTTTTCACAACTACTTTGCCAAACTTTCATCCTGCCTTCACATACAGCCAATTCGGAAATATTTTCTCTGAAGACCATTTTATTGAAACCCTGAAAGATGATGTCAACATCGTCAGGTATGCCTTGCAACAGCCTTTTCTGCAGCGCTTTCTTCTCAGATAAATAAGCCTCTGAAACATTGGTGCAGACAAGCGAATTTTGCAGTGACGTCAGATGCTTTGGAGCACGCTCCACCTAATCACCGGACGCTAAATGTAGACTGGTACCTTCAAAATGTGGCACCTGTTCTTCAAGGGGAAGGAGTGGCAGTGTTGGACCACTTACTTCTTTTCCTTTCCCGGGACTTGCCAGAAGTTTATCAGGTACAACCTCTTGCTTTGGTGACATTAGCTAGTTCCACTATTTGTACCGGAAAAAAAGAGAAAAAAGGTGGTCCTCTTTGGCAGCGCCTACGGTGTAGAGTGCTATACCACGCTTTACTTTTTACCAGTGAGACCCTGGGGCTTGGAGCGAATGCTGTCGAAAGGCTCCACGCGGAGGGTCCTTATGTTGCACTCCACTTGAGCTTGCAAGATAGGAACATGCTGAGATCGAGTAAGTCGAGCATTTTTGTATATGTATGATTACGGTATGTTGCAACAAATTGGGGTTGCCTAACAAAATGTCTGTCCCAAACAGCTTGTGTCTATGATTCCGAGACGGCACAGATGGTTCAAGAATGGTTTTCAACCCACCACATGAGAGTGCAAAGTGATTCTGGTGCAGCCAATCATCAGAAGCTTGAGGGTCTCTGCCCGTTGTCACCAAACGAGGTCACACGCATTCTCCAGGCATGTTGACCATGTATTTTTTTCCACCTGTTTGAAGCGTCCATAATTTTTTCTCACTCATTTCCCACCTGGAATTCCTCTTTCGTGCGTCAGGCAATTGGCATTGGAAACCATACAAACGTGTACGTGGGTGGAAGCTGTGACAAGGTGGAGCAGCTTTTGATGCCGTTGAGGTTAGCTTTTCCTGGAAAAGTAGTCAGCAGGTGTGATCTTTTGGATTCAAGCATGGCCCCGATAAGCTCCCACCTAATGCAGGCAATTGACTACATCGTCAGCCTTGAAAGGTGAGGGTTCTTGTGCTGGTGAATAATGCTGCTTGTTTATAAGTGTGCTGGAGCTGCTACAGTTTTCTTCTTGCCCCAGTTCCCCCCCCTGAGCTCTCACCTTCCTCAATTGCTTCCCCTCCCTTCATTGCAGCGATTTTTTTATGACCAACAAAAGAAGCAGCATTGCTGTCCTTCTTAGAGGACATAGATTCTACATGGGAGCACAAAAGGTAAGTTGATGCCAGTGAAGCCATCTTGTTATACCACTTCAAATCTTGACTATTTCTCTCTTACACAGGAAACCTACCAGCCCTTTGTGCCAGCAATCCTCCCAGCACTAGCACAAGGAGCAGCTGGACAGGAAGAGTTACGACAAAGGGTGCGTGAGCACAGAAAACAAGTGGCTGAGCTTCCCATAAAGTCAAGTAGATGGCACTTCTATGATAGGCCGTGGGAGTGTGTCTGCCACTGACACTACTGTGTAACATAGAGTTTCCTGTGAAACCATCACTTCTATGCCACCTCAAAGCTTTACTCGTTTACCACAAGCCCTATGGTATGGTATGTGAGGAGCACTCCTTTCAATATTAGAACAAGGAGTACAGGGCAGGAAACTAAGAAAATACATGAGCTTCTCTCGATAACCAGTACTCAAGAAACGAGGGAGTCTGATGGGCTGAGAATTTCAGCCTTAGGATCTTTGCAGAGAATAGGCTAGTAGGTCCTAAAGTAGCACAGCGGAAGACTTGAGTGAATGTACTTGTGCTGGTGTGTGAGAACAAGTAATTGATTAAAGCAAAGAGCATACAGGAATATATAGGAAAGATAGATTACAGGAAGCGGTTGTGTTTATCGAGACGCGTAACGCTTCGACTATCGAGGCGGTTACTGTTCACTGAAGCGTCGCTTGCTGTTACGTAACCTCCAGGCGGTTACAGCTCGCAACCTCCAGTTGCGGTTTGATGTGGTACGCGCCCTTTCGACTTCGTACCCCTTTTGTTGTGCTTCAGTATCGGGTGAGGTTCGATACTACAGAAACGCACTAAGTCATGCGTTTATATTCCCAACACTCCCCTTCGTTTCTGGAGTGTCGACGTGGTCAGCTTCGGTGACGTGGCCCAATCCGGTAAGCAGCATGCAGTACTCTGTTGGGAAAATAAACGCATGACTTAGTGCGTTTCTGTAGTATCGAACCTCACCCGATACTGAAGCACAACAAAAGGAGTACGAAGTCGAAAAGGCGCGTACCACATCAAACCGCAACTAGAGGTTGCGAGCTGTAACCGCCTGGAGGTTACGTAACAGCAAGCGACGCTTCAGTGAACAGTAACCACCTCGATAGTCAAAGCGCTACGCGTCTCGATAAACATAACCGTTCCTTGTAATCTATCTTTTCTATATATTCCTGTATGCCCTTTACTTTAATCAATTACTTGTTCTCACATACCAGCACAAGTACATTCACTCAAGACTTCCGCTGTGCTACTCTAGCACTTACTAGCCTATTCTCTGCAAAGATCCTAAGGCTGAAATTCTCAGCCCAACATGGTATGAGAGCAGTCAGAGAACAAAGGCTCTCGTCATTAAGCCTCTTTCAGGCTACCAATCTGCAAACGACCAAGAAGTTCAACCTTCACTCAAGAAAGGCAAGACATGGCAAGTGGCAAAGAAAGAAGAT